CATAATTGCAATGGACGCCATCAGATATGAAAACTGCTATGCACCCAGTGAGGTTTCCAAACAGACGGTTCCTTCAGACTGGAGAAATGTTGAGTGGACCGACGTACGTTTCCCTTCTGCTTTCTGAGGATCATAACAGGACGTCAGCTCTGTGCTTTGCTGTCTGACTCTGTGCTTTACTCTGACAGAAAATGAAAGTCTATCTGAATTCTGACCAAGCTGTTACTGCCAAGGATCTGCTCAGCATGTTCTCATCTTTTGGATGTGTCATCTCTGTTCAGGTAACTGTCTTACAAACGTGCTTTAGAAATGCAAAATTCACTTTCATTTGCTTCACGATTTTCCTCTCGTACTTCAGACGATTGTGAAAAACAATCACAGATACGGGATGGTGCATTACCGCAGTGCCGATGAAGCTGCCGTGGCTTTGAGGGAAATGAAGAGCAGCACCAAAGTCTTCTTCGTAGCTCAAGTAGGCATCAGGGAGGTCAGAGAGGGCCCCAAGGATAAAAGATCCGAACGTCCCCATCGACCACCACCAAGCAGCTGTAGTTACCGCCCACTGCACAGACATCCCATTCTGTGGGAACCACTGTTTCCAGCTTACAGACAGGTAATGAAACATTTGGACTCCCACAAAAAAGAAAAAAAATCTTAAGGTTTGTTTTTTATGGCTGATGATGGATGTTTTGATAATTTTATGAAATCTTTTGTTTTTCTCTCGTCAGACTGTGTCTATTGAAATTGATAACCTCCCACGATCTTGGTATGAAAGAGACCTGCTGCTCAGCCTCCTCCCTCCGACCACCATTGATGTAAAGGTGCTTACTCTCCAGCATTTAAAAGCACTGATTCAGAGAAATACATATGTACACAGCACTGAAAGTTTTAAATACTGTTTCTATTGTTTTAACATGTATGCTCTGTATTATGACCGTGCAGATATTTAAGAGAAAAGCCTGTGTGGTCTTGCCGGACTTCTCCAGTGCCTTGAGGCTCAGGGATTTGTTAAACAGTGCCCTTCACCACTTCCGCTTTATCTTTTCACCTCGTGGAAGACGGAGGTGCCCCACAGTGAAGATATCAGCAGCCGGCACCGTGCTCTGCTCTCGGTGACCTGTGACCTCTGCATGCTGTTACATATACAGATCAACACAAAAGCAACAAAAACACAACTTCAGTATAATAATAAACGTAAATGCTGCTGTAGAGCTGGACCCATTATTTCTGCATTACATGTGTTACATGATTAAAACCAGAGAAAAACAGGAGCTTAAAAGATGGGAAACAATAACACAACCAAGATGCACAGTGATCATGGAACCTGAGTGGGATATATTAGAGAGCAAGTGGCCATTTTTTCCTCAAAGTTGCTGTGCTAGAGTCAGTAAAAAGCACAAGGTCCAAAATGTGATGGCTGGATGACTGGGTCAGCTTTGGGCATCTCCAGATCTCCAGTTCTTGTGGGGTGTTCCTGGTCTGCAGTGGTCAGTATCTATCAAAAGTGATCCAAGGAGGTAACAGTGGTGAACCAATGATCATGGGCCAAGACACTGATACACATGGTGAGTGATGGCTGGTGGTCCAATCCAGCAGACAAGCTACTGTGGCTCAAACTGCACAAAAAGTTAATGCTGGTTCTGATAGGAAGATGTCACAATACACAGTGTATCGGTTTGCTGTGAATGGGGCTGCATAGCCACAGACAAGTAAGGCAAAACTGGTAGTAAGCAAAAATGCTTCAGGAACGGTTTGAGGAGCACAACAACGAGTTTGAGGTGTTGACCAAATCCTCCAGGTCTCAATCCAATCGAGCATCTGTGTACCGGGCAAACAAGTCAGATGCATGGAGGCCCCGCCTCACAAGTTACAAGACTTAAAGAATCTGTTGCTAACATCTTGGTGCCAGCACAAGGTCTTTGTTAGCAACACAACACAGTTTTAGGCAGGTGATCATAATGTTATGACTGATCAATGTATAATCAGGATGCATTGTGTAATACAGGAATTAGAAACACACCTTGCCACTGAACAGTTGACAGAATAATTATAATAATTTTGTTTTCTTTTGGCCCCTGTTACATTTTATTTAAAGCCAAGGGACAAGTTGCTGTTTTTAATCAACTGAGCAGCTTTTTGGAATTAAACAACTGCTTTGATGTCTTACAATTAGCAGTTTAACCACGTTTAACCTAAACATAGTGAATGGCAGATTTTAGCATCACAGGATCTTAGTTCTGCAACTGAGACCATCGACCACAAAGCAATAACAGATCAGATGGCAAACTGTGTGGGACTTCCTGGGACAATGCTAAAGGAGTTTGAGTCCTACTTAAAGGACTGAGATGGCTTTGTATCTGGATAATTATTAGAGTCTCGAGTTTAATGTGAATGGGTTTTCTGTGAACTCAATTCTACTTTCAGGAGCTGCACTGAGCCCGTGCTGCACTTCCGCACAACAACCACTAGATGGACCATTGGATTCTCCGAAGCAGCCGCACAGGCTGAACATGGAATACGTATACTTTACATTATTGTTTCTTTTAATGTTAACTGGATATTTTTCTCAGTTATAAATATTTCTGACATACAAAAACAAATAAATCACTTTTACCTCATTCTATTTCCATTTTAATTTTATATTATAGCACTTATATCACACATCAACTGAGCAGGAAATTGATTTTGCTAGACTCACTCAGCTTAAAAGGTACAATAAGTAATTTTTTCAGGTTATGTAAAGAAAAAAAGGAATGTTGTACTCATAAATATACACTGATTAGTGTTTAATTACATCATCCATCAAATTCATGCATTGTCATAAACTTAGAATGAAACCATTAAAAATACATGGGGGCAGGCACTGGTTTGCATGTTATGCTGACTTCATGTATACAGTGACTGAGGTGGATATTGCTGTTATGCCCAGTTGTGTTTTTTTGTCTGTGGCTTGAGACCAGTAACACATGTAGTATGTCTTAAAAGTTACTTTTAATTTAAAGACCACAAATACTTCTTTCAAACTATATGTGACCATTTAATATTTTTATGTGTATATTTTCATCGTCCTTCTCATTATTCCTCCTCAACTCAAGCGTCATCTCCTTAACTGAAGTTGAAATTGTGAATGAATATGTTTGGTTATTCTCAATACTGTCGCAATTACTTTGTCAGATGATAAACAGTTTGATTACAGTATCAGATCGTGTAAGAGTTTATTCACTAAGTGGCCGAGTCCATTGATGTTAGATCAACAAGACAGTTTCAAGTTTCTTACATTGGCTAACAGCAGCTAACAGCAGCTAACAGCAGCTAACAGCAGCGCTTACTGACAGAATATTCTGGAATATTCTCCATAACTCACCTTGGTATCGCTGAAACGGACACGTGAGCTTCACTGATTCATTGATGTCACAATGAACGAGTGAACTCAGGCGCAGGACTCTGTTGATGTTGAGAATAAACAGTTTATTTACACGATCACCGAGTGCTATATACAAAGTGCGTGGGGAATAGGGCTCCAGGGAATCCAGGGAAGGAGGGGGAAAGCCACACACTTCTTTGGACACACACACCACTCACCAAAACAATCAAGATTGCAACTCCAGGGGTGGAAACAGGGATGGGTCCAAGAAGATCTATGTACAGGGGAAGACAATTAGAAGCCAGGGAAACACGAGAAATGACGATACACAGGAAAGAGTCGGGGCTACATTGGTGAGTGTCGTACAACGATCCAGTGATGAGAAACGCTGAGCTGTCGCCTAAATAGTGGCTGAAGTTCAGGACAATGAGCTGCAGGTGCGTGATTACTTGCAAGGGCATGGGCCAGAGGTGGGAACCCCAGCAGAGGCGAGCGAGAGAGAAAGGCCAGGGAGAGAAAGCAACAACAACAGCAACACCGAGATCGCTGGGGAGACACAGGGAACCATGACAATCGAGGCATATCGGAGTCTTTTCGGAAAGTTTTACAGCCTCCTTCGGAGAAATAGATGTGGCATAAACAGCTAACTGACAGCAAACACTCGCTACAATTGCACTGTTGGCCGAGTTGTTAGTCCTACAGTGGCCACCATAGACAGGATTATGCACTTAAATTGGGAGGAGTAAGAAAAAAAGCATTCAGTTAACCGTAATCTGCCATGTACTGACATCTAGTGGTTAGATTTTACACGCTGTACCGTTAAGAAATCACAGAAGTCCCATAACCAGTTTTTTTATAGCTACTTAAATAACTTTTTTCTTTTTAATGTGATTCTTCGTGAGATGAAACATTTATTATTCACTCCTGAACAAAAGTATTTACTGGCCAAAAGCTGAAGTCATAAGGCGGGTTGTAATTTTTCTTCTATAAAAGCAGGTCTGAGGGTAGAAACTCATTGAACCCGTTAATCCTCACTTAGCAGAGCTCTACATTTCTTCCTTTTTTTTCCTGGCCCATAACCTCAGGCTGCATTTACAGTGGTTTATCTGGACTGTTTACCTTTGGCTAGGTTCATTTGTACAGGTGAAAGCACTGGAAAGGTGAAAGCAACAACCAGCAAACACAGTGACACACCCATCCATCTGTCTGTCAATAACAGCTGTACTGAACCTTCTGTCTTTCTGTGTCATATTCCTTCCATGTTTACCGATCATGATTAGCTATCTGCTAACATCTCTCTTCCTGTCTTATCGCCTGCAATTGACACTTATCTTTACGATTATTGAGCTTATTGAAGCTATTTTTATACATGGGCAAGGGCCCAGAGGCAGTTACATTTTTAGTTCAGTTGGAAGTTGGCTTATGGAAGTTTTGAGGGATTCAAAATTCCCCTTTGGTTCGGGTTACGAGTTTTGCATAAACAAAGCGAGTTGCTGTTTATCAGTGGAAAACACTGCATCTAATTAATCAAACTATCTTTCAACTGTCATATCGCTGACTTTCCCCTCATCTGCCTGTCTGCCATCTGCTCTGCAGCTACTTCAATAATAGCTTGCAGCTGCATAGGAAGGTGGGGATGGGGTGGGGGAGAGAGTGGGTGGAAGGAAAACCCAGAGGGGTAAAAGGAGGGCACGCAGGCGAGCTGGGAAGGAGGGAGGAAGGAGGGGGCGGTGAAAGCAGAGCTATGATGCAGACAGCAAATCACATGAGCAGGGATCTGTTTACAAACTGAGACCTTTAGACAGAGAACGTGGGGAAGAGAGACGAGGAAGGAGAGTGAATGTGAGAAGAAAAGAGAAAAAAAAGAAACCACAGGCGGAGAGAGGAGACCCTAGGTCTGAGTTAACATTGGCTGCATTGTCTTCCTGCGTTGACATACCTCCCCGTGTTCTGTGTTCACAGCAGGAAGCCGGGGGAAGAGATGAGTTGCTGCTTTCCACGGGAACACTGAGAGGCTGCCTGCCTGCTTGGCTGGCTGTGCTGCCGGGAGAACCCGTCCACGTCCCTCCCTTTGTCTCTCCATAATTGGCAACGGCAGGTTTTCACAGCCAGAGAGGACGAAAGCGGCGTGGAGATCTAAAAGGAGCGGACAGAGGAGTGAGAAGAAAGGGAAAAGAGAACAGAAGAAGAGGAAGGGAAGGACAGCCTTGTCACAGTGTTTTGAAGGGGGAAACAAAGCCAGAGGCTCATAACAAAAGTGCTGTATGGGATTTGGAATACATTTCCTTGTCTTGTCAGTGACATTGGTGTCTTCTCATCAGCACAACTCCACGTCGGATTCTTTGTCATTTGTGGGAAATGCACAAAGGAGCACTTTAGTTTCTACCTCTGATACATTCGCAGCCGTCTGGGAGTCAAAATCTCACATAAGTGGATGTTTTTTATGACATTCATGGGGTAAAATCATCCCAGCAGACTGAAACATTGTGTTCAAGGTCCTAGGTGTCTCTGATCAGGTGTACTGACTCGAGACCACAAGGATTTAACACAGGTATAAGAGGAACCTGGAGGCGGACATCATTTTCAGTGCTGGAAACAATCCCAGAAAAGTTGTGCAAATCATAGTTTGTGATACTGGAACGGCTTACTGGGTTTGCTATATGAACATTTCTATATGAACATTTGATGCATCCTGTCCACTGGTGTAACGGTAAGTGACCTGGAGCCAGTTTGCCCTCCTAAAAGAGTTATATTAAGCTGTTCCACCACGATTTCCTTATACATAGTCAACTGATTTTGATTGGATAATGCTACTGGTGTTTTCTAGCAACTGATTTATACATTATTAAGCTGTTTGTAGGTAAGACATGTTTATATATAATTGTTACTATGAGGTGAGGAAGGACTTTCCAGTCACTAGATTAGTGAAGAGCTGACCCAACCCTATCCTGATGTCATGAAGTTATGACAACAGTAACAACTAGGCCACAACATGTTTTACTATTTTTATAATTTTAAAAAAATGACTGCAAAAAAGTTTTTCCTACTTAATCATCTTAAAGATTTTTATGCTACACATTTCTACAAATTTTCCATCCAAAACACATCAAAATAAAACTAGTCATGTTTAACAATGATATAAGCCTATCCCCAACTAATGCATGTGCACAGTAGCCTAGCCTTTAGTGCTCCACTATCAATGATTTACTAGCATCGTGCTAAGATTACCTCCTTCGTCCAGACGTCCTCCTTAACCCTCCTCCTAAAACCCCCTGAGACTGTCACCTGCTGCAGTGACCCTTGTCCATTAGAGAGTGACTTCTGAACCAGACTTCCTCCACTGTAGCTTAACTTCTTGCACTTTAGTCTTGTGAAAACATTAATTACTGTGGTTTAAACCTGACGTTTGTTGCATGGAATGAAAAGTGCCTTGCTCAAACCCCTCAGGCTAAGAACTTGTTTCTCCCCAAGCTAAACTAAGGGGTGTTGGGCCAAAAAGCAAGTAGAACAAATTCCTTTGTGATGCAAGGACAGATATAAAAGTTCATATTAAAGTCGGTCTATTTTAGGGTGTGGAAAGCTGCTTGTTTTCTCCGTCTTCATCATGAGGATAGCAAACATCACCAGAAACAAAAATCTGACCCCAAAATCCCACAATACTTTCCCACAACTTTCCCCTGAATTCAAACACTCTATCTAAGAATGCTAACAGGGTAAGCAGTTTGCAATTTGAAACAAGAGGCTACACAGATGTCATGTGCAGCTCGTGTGCCAGGCTTTACAGACTGCACAGACATAAGAGTGCACCCCCTAAAACCCAACCCTACATCCACTGTGGAGTAGTGATGGGTCGGTCGCGAACGAAATGGCTCTTAGAGCCGGGTGTTTGACATGAACGACGCGAGCCGGCTCCTTATCGCTAGCCGTGGGTTTTTTGTTGTTTTGTTTTTTCTCTCTCACCCTCTCTCTTGCACTTTTTCCCGCTTCACTCAACGTGCGAGCCTTGTGCTTTATGCTGGGCAGAGGGGGGAGGGGCGGTAGTTATGCTCAGTAGCACAGGAACAGAGCGGGAGGGAAAGACAGAAAGAGCCAGGGACGAAAGATTCAGAAAGTTTATTCATGCAGGTCCATATGACAGAGAATATACATGTTCTTTTTGTTTTCATATTATAATTTATATTTAATTGTGTTGTGGTTTGCAGTGTTTTGTGTTGTTTCACTTTAAATATGTAAAAGGAAAAAGCTGAAAATTTTAATAGTTAAAAGTTGAAATGTGAATAGTTGATTTTTGTATTATAGGATTTATTTATTACATTTTATGTGGAGTGAATAAATAAACGTATATTTACAGTAGCCCCTAGAGACAAAGCGCATACAAACTTCAAATCACATACGAACTCTGAAGCACGTACAAACCCCAAAACACGTAAAAACTCAGAAGCACATAAAAACTCAAAACACGTACAAAAGACAACAGAAGTGCTCCAGGATGTTAGGGGCAGTGTTGAGCTTTTGTTACCTAGTGGCTACACAAGCCAGCAAGTACCAACCA